CAATTAAAAAATTTTGCCGCATCATGAGTCAGTGTATTCCTAATATGTTTAAAAACAGACAAACTGTACTTTACTGTGTTGCCAATTTTCTTAACATGTTTTTTAAAACTAAACGTTGAATCCAAAACAAGGCCTAGATATTTAAATTCCTTCACTACTTTTATTTGACTCTGGTTTACATAAATGTATGGGAAGGAGGACTTCAGTTTTTGAGTTTTGGTAAAATACATCAATGTGTAACAAGTCTATGGTGGTCTCCAGGGACAAACATTTTTAGTCAAATCATTAAAAAAATTCCAAACTCACTAACCTTCAGTTAACTTGCTTCTATCTATTATACAAATATGACATTCTGTGTCGCTATTTCGGTCTAAAACCCTTTGAATGAGCATTCAGAAAATACAGATATGAGCCGTAATGATTTCTTTATATCTGAGCCATACAGACTGTTGCCTCAACATCCATGTTAGCAACACGTTAGTTTGCATCTACCTTACTTCAAAGCGTATTACTAATGCCCATATGCTCCAACAAGCAGTTATTCTTCTTTCGCATCTGCAACAATATCATTAGGTAATGTATTTTTAATCAAATTCTCTTTTAATTGTGAAATGTAAGTCGTTCTCCCTTTCCACCAGAAAAACGTGTGCTAGTTACCAAAGCAACACACTGTTTACTTGCTACCAGTTAGCATTTAGCCTTTCATCAAACCATTTTTCTCTATTTCAAATCATATTAACCAGTTGCAGCACTTATTAAACGAATTCTACATTTTCAGAATTCATTGATTTGAATGGGAGCAGTCAAAATGACGGCTCTGGGAGTTCTAGTTGTTTCAAAATTCTTGGAGTCCTAATGTTAACACTAATACATAATTAGAGCCACCAACACTGCGATTTCGTTTGTGATTCTTTGGCGCACTTGAGAACTGAATGATCAATTTTGTGCAGAGAGTAGAGAGTAGGGTCTGGAGAGCTGCCTTTTTCCGCTGAGTGCATCTCGACTGTACATAACCCAGAATCCTCTGCCAGCCACTGAAACTGAGACTTATCAATTCTCAAGCACTGGAAAAAGCTGTCAAGGTTGCCGTAGCAGAGAGGCAGAATCAAGCAGCGCAGCTCTCAGTGCTATATATAGTGCTTTATTTAACAGAGGAGGCAGTCAAATGTACAAACGCACCTTGAGTGTTGAAATGGTCTTTAAAGGATAATGTCCTCAACTTACTTTTGCACATTGGGAAAAAAATATCAGTTTTAAAAATTGGACATTGATGATATACATGTCCATAAATGTCCTCTAATGTCCTGGATCATCACCATCCTTAGATTTGAAGGTGTATGTGCCAAATGTCATGTCTCCCGCTGTCCCTATTCTGTCCCAAGATATGAGCTATAATATAACATTGAGTTACTGACCTGCCAAAAGAATAACAATTATCTAACAATCTATCGGTTGTGATCAGGTGGAAACGCAACATACTGCATTTTGTCCACAGAACATTAATAGCACATGTAGCACAAACCAATACAAAGAGAGGTTTTGACCATTGAGCTTATTTATTTTCCATTTTTGACAGTACAATGAATGCCAGCCCAGATCCCTGCAAGAAATAACCTCCATATAAATTTGGTTCGATCAAGGACATACATTGAATATTTTTTCAGAAATGATTGACATTGGAGTCTCATTATGGCCAAGAATTTTATTTTCTGATTATATGCAGATATTAACCAACTATCAAATGTTAAAAATCCATAAACTATTGACATTGGAGTCTCAAGAGGCTGCATGATTAAAAAGCCTAACCCTAACTCATTTGTTGCACCAATGTATGTGATTTTGGAAATTCAATTCAATTTATTTTTGTATAACCTTAAATCCAAACAGCAGTTGTCTCGGAGGACTTTTCGATTCACCAACAACAGATCAGAGAATCAAACACAGGAATTAGAACTAAAACAGACAGGTGACCAATGTCCTTAAATGTTAATAAATGTCCTTAAATGATCAGATCAGTAATGTCGTTTCAAACCACTTTTATACTTCTCCTCAAACCAATTGTAAAAGAATAGAATCAGACATTGAAAACATAATCCAAGCATTTTGAAAAGACGGGTTTTCTTTCTATTTTATTTTTATTGTCAGTTGTTCTGCCACATTACGAAAGCAAAGGGAACGCAACCGTCACATTATGCACTGGCAACTTTTGTGACGTGACGTTGCAGGAGATGATTATCGCTCTTTTTGCTCGAGTTGTTTTAATAGCTTAGATTTAAAACACTTCCATTTTTCCCTTTGTTCAATGATTCAAAAAAATTGTGAAAGATGCGGCTCTTGGATGATAACTCTATAACTACTCAGAAATCATGCTTGAATAATTTTGATATCGCCGTTGATGGCGATGTACTTTCCTAAGTGAGTAGGAAATTGTGTTGACATCTTGCAAATAGAACATTTCAAGGTGAGAAGCAAAACGCACTCTAAATATTGAGATATATTACATAGCCACAATACTGGATTTTTGGCTGATTTTACATCCAAAGTAGACAAACTAAAATGCGATTCTAGAATTCTAGAATGATGGCAAAGATATGAATAATACATTATGAGCAGTGGCGGCTTCAGAGTTTTTGTGAAAGAAGCGATTTGGTACTTGTACATATCTCATAAAGCTATTGGACTGGGAGGGGGGGGGGGGGGGGGGGGGTCGCACAACAAACAATAGTAGCAAAAATCCTACAGTGTTTGCCCAGCTTTAGGGCTTCTATGTTCTGGTACTATAGTAATGTTGGCCATCTGCTGGCCGTTTGTAGAACTGCACACTTGATATGGTACAGTATATGACAAAAGGCTTATGAGAGCTTTTCCCCAATGGACTTTTCAAAATCAACAAACAGATCTTATTAAACTTTGGTTTTGTTGACGTCTCTGAAGGTAGATAGACAGTTTTTGATGTGTGCATTAGAATTATGGGATGCTACCGCCCAGCCTACAAAGCATTATGGAATTGCGCAAATAGCGAATAGAGGGTCTAGGGGTGTATTCTGATGCCACTTGCCCACAAATTGTTGATATACTAAAAACAGTTAGGCTTTGCAAATAGAGTTTGCTCCAAACGATGTTACTGAGAAGAAACAGTCTTATCTAAGCACATTCTGACCCTTGCCACTGGATCAACAATAAATAGTCTCGTCTTACTTAAAATTTTAAAATGAAGCAATTTTTCACTTGGAATAAGATAAATATGGTTACTGCTTTTGAAATAAGACTAGGCCTGAATATTCTATTGACAAATATGTTTTTAGTGTTTTTTAAGAAATGTTTTTTTAACCACTGCACAGGATTAGGGTCTATGGAGTCCCTGGTTGTGAGTTCTTATTTGCCAAATATCTGAACTCTGCTCAACATCCATTTGGTCCTTTCTCGTACATTATCTGGTCTCATGGGAACTCAGTCACAGCTGTGTGCTCTGCTGTGGTTATGAAAACTATATCTGATGCACTACGGAGAAAACTCAGTCAATTTACCTTTATACAGTGATCAGAAAGGGACCACTTCAGGCTGTAGATTCTACCATCGAAAACCAACTGCTTATCAAAGCCTACATAGATGCAGGACTAATGACCAAATGCTTTGCTTATGACAATAGATTATCCCAGAGCACAAATGTACATGTTTCAATAGGTTAGAGACCAGAAAGAGATTAGAGAGAGAGAGACCAGAGAGAGACCACAGAGAGACCAGAGAGAGACCAGAGAGGGAGACCAGAGAGAGAGAGACCGAAAGACCAGGGAGAGAAACCAGAGAGGGAGACCAGAGAGAGAGAGCAGAGAGAGACCAGCAAGAGAGCAGAGAGAAACCAGACGAGAAAGATCAAGAGACGAGAAAGATCAAGAGACCAGAGAGAGAGAGAGAGAGAGAGAGAGAGAGAGAGAAACCAAAGAGAAACCAGAGAGAGACCAGAGAGAAACCAGAGAGAAACCAGAGAGAGACCAGAGAGAAACCAGAAAGAAACCAAAGAGAAACCAGAGAGGAACCAGAGAGGGACCAGAGAGAAACGAGGGAGAGACCTGAGAGAGAGACCAGATAGGAGACCAGTAAAATGACCAGAGAGACCAGAGAGACAGCAGAGAGAGAGACCAGAGAGAGAGACCAGAGAGAGACCAGAAAGAAGACCAGAGAGATACCAGAGAGATACCAGAGATCCAGCAGAGAGCGAGACCAGAGTGACCAGAGAGAAAGACCAGAGAGAGACCAGAGGGAAGACCAGAGAGATACCAGAGAGCCAGCAGAGAGCGAGACCAGAGTGACCAGAGAGAAAGACCAGAGTGAGACCAGAGAGAGACCAGAGGGAAGACCAGAGAGATACCAGAGACCCAGCAGAGAGCGAGACCAGAGTGACCAGAGAGAGAGAGACCAGAGAGAGACCAGAGAGAGACCAGAGGGAAGACCAGAGAGATACCAGAGACCCAGCAGAGAGCGAGACCAGAGTGACCAGAGAGAGAGACCAGAGAGAGACCAGAGAGAGACCAGAGGGAAGACCAGAGAGATACCAAAGAGCCAGCAGAGAAATAGACCAAAGTGACCAGAGAGACCAGAAAGGAGACCAGAGAGAGACCAGATAGACAATAGAGAGAGAGACCAGGGAGAATAGCATGCAGGAGTACATTTTCAGCAGAGGACCATAGAAAAGGAAGGTGTAAATACTCAAATAATCAATAGGGGTGAAGTCTTTGTCCCGGTCATCTCCAGTCCAGTGTCAGGGGCAGAGAGACTCATCTTTCTTATATAATGACTGTCCAGCAAATGCATGAATGGGGGAGAAAAGACTAGCGCACAATAGGCTGTGTGTGGCCATTCACAATTTTCAGAGCAATTAAAATAATACAATGGAAAACAATACTTGAGATACAGACGGGCAATAGCAAGTGAATGAAAGACATGATTTGAATGCTTTAAAAAAAAAATCTTAAATGAGACTTACATCTTGGAAAATCGCGATGCCCTGGTTGTGGTTGTGGTCCAGCTGCTGCTTTCGTAAATGTTCATGTTTGGCAGACTGGAGGCACATGGTGATCATCTCAGCGCACGCCAGCATCGTGTGTTTGTTTGGCTTTTTCTTTCCTGGTGTTATTCTCTGTATGTGGATGAGGAGCTCTGTCCTTGTCAGCGCGGGATGGACGAGCAGAGAGAAGGAGGATGAGGAGGAGGAGGAAGAAGAGGAGGAGGATGGAGCTCGCGCTGCTGATGACGCTGCGTCCTTCGACAGCCACGACAGCGCGCAGACCCCGCCTCTGATCCACCCACACGTGCTGGACGCCCGCACTGCGCCCCCTGCTGGAGCACAGTAGGAACAGGTAGAAGGGTAATGTATCAGTTTAAGACGTCTCACAGTGAGGAAAGTTCAGTGTCAGTTACAGAACATAGGAATGAAAAGCACACAACACAAGTGAATATTAAGAATAGAACAAATCTAAAAATGAAAAAAAAAATCTTCCTTTGCTTTATAAAGAAACATAGTATAGAATGTAAGGTAACATAAGGTATGTAAGGTAACATGTAAGGTATGAAACAGGGTATAAATAAATATATACTTATTTATAAATATGCAAATAAATTGATATTACACTCTAGAGCAAGAATATTGAGGTAGTAATTGTTCTATTCTTTTTCCAAATTAAAATTCCAGACTTTTATACAACTGATATTTTTTTCCCAGACCTTAACTTTATGTACTTGTATACTTGGGTGCCTTCTGCCTACTTCATTGTTTGAGATTGTACCAACTGTGAATTTAATATTAGAAATTCTTATAGGCTAGTATTCAATGAACAAATGCATCATTCACAATGCCTTTGAACATACTGTAAAATTCGAGCATACATTTTATTCCCCATACTTTATTAAGACTTTCACACAAAATTCATGACTTTTCAAGGTCTGGAAAACAGTGTTTCAAAATTATTAAGACTTTCAAGACTTGTGCAAGCACCCTGCATTATCTCTGTGGGTTTAAATATTCACAGTGATGATAAAACTACCCATGTAAAAGGAAAAACTAATATAGAAAAGCAGGTGGTAGCAACACACTCTCAAGCATTAGCCTGTTTTTGCTGTATGTCAAGTTCAGTTCAACAGTTTTAGCATTTAGTGAAGTGAGTGAAGGTAAAGGTCATTTTTACTAAATCTGGTGGAAAAGTAAATGAGTAGTTCCATTGCAAAAAACAGATATATCAGATCTGGAAATTAGGGGGCCCCAGGAACGATTATTATAGAATAGTGTGTGACTGTCCTCTGGTGGTTACAAGTTACACAGAACTTCAACACAAACTTCCCATTACTGAAATACGAAAAAATAGTACAATTGAATCTTACATCGTTGGGTTTTATTATGACTACATTGGATTTCTTCAGCGCTGTCTTCTGTTGAGATTTCTCCATCCCTCAGTCACTTGTTCTGGGTTCATCTTCCACTTAATCCAGGGCCGGGTCACAGAGGCAGCAGTCTGAGCAGAGTGGCCCAGACTCCACTCTTCACACACACCTCCTGCAGCTGGGTAATTCTCTTTCCGGGTACACCCCTACAGGCTAGAAGTGAGATTGCAAGTATGTCGCCGCACGTGCTTATAGACCTTTTGAAGCAGGGACATCTTTAAACAGCCATCTGCCATCTGACGACAAAGTTGAAAAGACCATTGAGTGAACTGTTGCTGGTTGGATTAGGCAACAGTACGATGCAAAATCCACTTTGAAAAGGGGCCTCCTTTCATCACCTCAAACGGTTCTTCTTGACCTGAAGGAGCAGCGGCTCTAGCCAGAAGGGAACTCATTTAGTGCCTTATTTGCTATCTTTGGTCAAATACAAGTTTGGTGTCTCTTACATTCTAATGTGCAGATACAGACTGAACACTCTTTATCTAAGTTACGAATGTTTGATGTGTGTTCTTTGGACTACATGTGGCTGGAGCTGGAAGTACAACAGTCATTGTAGTTGTAGAAAACCATGACTTGAGTTCCTGTAATGAAAACCAGTTAAATCAGATCAGGTAAGTAACAATAGTCTGCATTCAACTGTGGGTCCTAAATGGACCTTGAGTCCAGCTCACCAGACTCCTGTCCATGTTATTGGTCCAGAGTCAGAATGGCCTCTCACTGTATAAGTCAGGATCAGGGTGGTCTCTAGTGGTGCTTCACTGCAGTAGTGTGGTTGATACCATGGACAGCTCCATCAGCGACACATCCATCTGTGAACAGTGGGAGCAGACTGCGTCTTTCATTCATAAGTTCACTACTTATTTGAAGATGACTCACCGGGACATAATCGGACAACACAAATCTGGAAACAATCTGCGGACATCTTTGGTAATGACACAGCCAGTTAAAGCTGTCAGTGTGTGTTCCTCATGTGCTCATACACACAATGGCCCTCATTTATGAGACTTGCGCAGAAAAGGGTGTATGTTTTTGGTGTAGATTCCAAATACGCAAAATCCAACGCGGGAATTATGAACGTGTGAGATCCGCCCAGATCTGTGCGTACGCAAGTGCAGCTGTTCATAAATGCCACGCTCAAAACTAGCGTATTTATGAAAGTCACGCCTATAAATATTCAGAAACCGCCCTTTTCACACCCCGTTTTGACAGTTTCCAGTAGTGTCTAGACTCAGTGCAGCACTATTCTTTCTTGAACTTTAGAAATGAATGAATGAATGAATGGATCATGGATGGATGGAACATAAAGCACTTAATCTTTTTTTTTTTAAAGACAGATGAAAATAATACACATGCAGATTTAAAATCAAAGAAACAGAAGAGGGTCCTCATCATGAACTGCGATTTATTCGAAGTTTGTGTGTTTCCATTAGACATTTTCTGATGCGCAAATTAAAATTTTGGAATATGATGCTCAATGAAAACGCAGCTTATAATTTTTCAGAGTAGGAAAATGTGTATTGTTGTCCAATCTTGATTGTCATGTGTGTTTTGGCGTGTTGTGATGAAGGTTGAAATGGGTGTAAAATTTACACCACCTCCTGCGTAAATTTTGTATGTACCATACGCCCACTTCCAAATTGATAAATGCCAAAAAGTGTAAATTATTTGCGTACGCCTCATTTACACCCTGATTTGTCTGTACGCAAGTTTCATAAATGAGAGCCAATGACTGTACGATGACTTTAATAGAAAATCCTATCTCATGTGGTGATGTGTGTGTGTCTTTCTCAGTGCTGTCAAAGCCTGAAGTGCCTTGCCTTGGTAAATATGTCTGACGACATTGTCCATGTCAAACAAAAAATAATAAAATGAACAAAATTAATAAAATGAATAATAAGTATTTGCGGACCATAGTTTGGAGACCAAGGCAAGGCAAGGCAAGGCAAGTTTATTTGTATAGCACAATTCATACACAAGGCAACTCAAAGTGCTGAACAAGATAGCATTAAAATCATAAATAATTACAGAACATTAAAACGAAAGATAAAAATATAAAATCCCTCAGTTGTATGCACAGCTAAACAGCACCGTTTTTAACCTGGTTTTAAACATTGTCAGAGAGGAGGCCTGTCTCACATCTTCAGGAAGATTGTTCCAGATTTTAGCAGCATGAATCTGAAAAGCAGCCTCCCCATGTTTAGTTCTGACTCTGGGCACTAACAGGAGTCCAGTCCCTGTGCTCCTCAGAGTCCGGGCTGGTTCATATGGGACTAACATGTCACTAATATATTTTGGTGCGAGGCCATGGAGAGACTTGTACACAAGCAGAGCTGTTTTAAAGTCTATTCTCTGAGCCACAGGAAGCCAGTGCAGGGACCTGAGGACTGGACTAATGTGGTCGTACTTCCTGGTTCTAGTCAGGACTCGAGCTGCTGCATTTTGAATGTACTGCAGCTGTTTTACAGCCTGTTTGGACAGACCTGTGAGCAGGCCATTGCAGTAGTCTAACCTACTGGAGACAAATGCATGGATAAGAATCTCCAAGTCTGCTTTAGACACTATGTTTTTGATCCTGGCAATGTTTTTTAGATGGTAAAAAGCTGCTGATGTTACTGATTTGATGTGGCTATTAAAATTTAAGTCTGAGTCCAGTATTACCCCTAGATTTCTGACCTTGTTTGAAGGTTTTAGGGAGAGAGACTGTAGGTGACAGATGACGCTCTCTCTTTGTTTCTGGGGACCAAAGACAACATTTCAGTTTTGTCTGCGTTTAGCTGAAGGAAGTTGTTTTGCATCCACTCACTGATCTGTTGGATACAGTGAAGGAGTGAGTCCACTGGTCCATGTTCTCCTGCAGTCAGTGAGACATAGATCTGAGTGTCGTCTGCATAGTTATGATAGGAAACTTTGTTTCTGCGTATTAACTGACCTAACGGCAGCATGTAGAGATTGAACAGAAGAGGTCCCAGGATCGACCCCTGTGGTACTCCACAGGTCAGGGCCATATGATCTGAGACACAGTTTCCAATCTCCACAAAGTACTTCCTGTCTTCAAGGTAAGACCTAAACCAACTTAGGGCGGTGCCAGCGACGCCAACCCAGTCCTCTAGTCTCTGTAAGAGGATCTCATGGTCGACAGTATCAAAGGCAGCACTTAGATCTAACAGGATTAGGATTGAGACTTTGCCTGCGTCAGTGTTCAGCCGGATATCGTTTGTAACCTTAACGAGAGCAGTCTCAGTGCTGTGGTGGGGTCTAAAGCCGGACTGAAACATATCAAATGAGTTGTTGATTATAAGAAATCTAGTAAGCTGTAGGTAGACAACTTTCTCAAGGACTTTCCCCATAAATGGCAGATTTGAGATGGGACGATAGTTGTTAAGTACCGTAGCATCCAGACTGCTCTTTTTTAGCAGGGGCCTGATGACTGCAGTTTTCAGGGCCTTTGGGAATATTCCAGAATCAAGGGACATGTTTACTATCTGTGTGAGTGAAGGTAACAGACTGCTCAGAACAGACTTTAGAAATCTAGTGGGTAGTACATCCAGGCTGCATGTGGAGGAGCTCAAACTGGAGATTATCTCTTGGACAGTTTGATCATTTACAGGTGCAAAGTAAGTTAGCTCAAAGAGCCTTTCTGGCTGTTGGATTGTTATCTGTGGATTGGAGACAATGGCGTTTTTGATGCCTTGAACCTTGTCATTGAAAAAATGTGCAAACTCATTACATTTACGTTTGGAAGTTAGCTCTAATGGCATTTGAACAGGGGGGTTTGTTAATCTATTAACTGTTGAAAACAGAACACGCAGATTGTTGCTGCAGCCTTCAATCATTTCAGAAAAATACCTTTCTCTTGTACTACGTAGCACCTGGTTAAACTCGCACAACTTATCTTTGAAGATCTTGTAATCAACCT